TATTGTGATGGCACCACAAGACTTGAAAGTTGAGCTGAGAAAAAGCCTGAACGATTTAGCAACGATTGATGTGCCTCGTGTGGTTTACGAGCGTTTCTGCAAGGTGTCGTTCATGAACTCGTCAAAGCCAATCTCGCGCCTCTACCTGAATCAGGATCTCGAGCTACACGTCTTCTCCATGCAGTCCGCCTTTATGCCCGAAGAGGGAATGTCATTCAAGTTGGACGTCACATATTACAGTAAGTACGATTGAGTGGCATTATTCAGTCACCTTAACAAATGAGCAATTTCAGAATGTGGTGGAATGATCACGAAACCGAATACGGGCGTTCTTACGAGTCCAAACTTTGGCGACGGTCGACCGTATCTGAAGAACTCGCATTGTCTTTGGATGCTTGTGGCACCTGAAGGAATGGTGGTGAAGGTGGGTGAACGAAGCGCAGTCATCGGAGCAATCGTAAATTAGCAGCGTTTTTTTTTTCATCGTACGCAACCTAAGTACTTACGGAACATTGAATAGGTTGAAAACGGCGAAACAGAGCGGCGGGATCTCTCACTAACACAGGGACCTCGTCCAGCGGTCGCTAAGCTGTTATCAAAACTACACTGGTGTGCAAAACTTAAGGACGAGACAGATGAAGTATCATAACCTTTTCTTAGCTTTGTGGACCGTTTAACGGTTCCTGTTAACTGCTTTCTTTAGTGCCCTGTGGCAGCTCTTTGTATGTGTGTAGGTTCCATAGAGTCATGTTACGCGCCAGTAACACGTCGTGGAAAAGCACGTTCGTCCCATAAGTTTGCACGTCAGTGCTATGGTTTCTTGCATGACATTGGGGCACATATGGGGACCACAGAAGCATGGTTCATTTTTCCTGAACGGCCCTCTGAATACCAGAAAAGGGGTCCCTAGTTCGATTCCTCGTGGTGACAAATTTTTGCATTTCGAGTTGACGTTTCAAAATTCGCGCAAAATGGAGTTAGCATGAATAATTAGTACCATATTCATGATTAGGACCGTCAGTAACCCTTACAAATAGACTTTGATTGAAAAAGTGGTGAAAAAGGTGTGACTAGGGACCCCTTCTCTTGGTATTAAGAGCCGTTCAGGCAAAAATTAACCATGGTTCTGTGGTTTCCGCATGTACCCCTATATCACACAAAAGACCGTTTTGAAAAATTTGCACCCGCTGAACGACTCCTTGTCAAGGGTGGACATAGCGCTGCACAGCTGCTCCCTAGTCAAGCCTTTAGGCTCAAGAGGGGTTTGTGATATAATTTTGTGGCCTGATGCTGGAGGAACGCAAAAGATCTAGAGAAGCAGTGATCACCTGGTGAACAACGAGGACCAAGCTTAGAGGGAGAGTCCCCTGCGAGCAAAGGACGATTGACTTAGGACCGAAACGTATGACCTCTTCCAAGGCTTAGTCCTGGAACATTTACTGCAAAGGAATACTGCTTTCTGTGGTTTTCGGGCGTTGCGTTCTGAATCGAGGCGGCGCTATCAGCGCAACTCGTCCACTCCTCCCTTGCAGTGGTCATGCGCTCGTCCAAAGCGGAAATCAACGGGCAAGGAAAGATTCCCATTTTCCGGGCTCCAGCCCCGTTTTTTCTTTACTTTTTTACTTCTCCGCATCTCAATGACCATCTCAACTTAATTTCCGATAAAGTTGCTTTCATAGTAAAATCCGCCTTTGAAGTGAATGCAACCTAAATTATGCGATGGTGTAAACAGGTGAGCCAGGTAGGGGTTTTCAAATTGATGGTCTCAATAGCGAATAACCAGAATTTTTCGGATTACCTTAAAAATTAGAGCAAGCTAGGCTGTCCGAGTTGTCTCTGCCGAGATATTTCAGTTTATCTGCTTGGAAAGCTTAGCTTATTTTTCGATATCTCGCTATTTTTTATCACAGTAACATTTATTCTGAACAATTTCAAACATACAAACATGTGAAGACAAAATGACAGTACATGGCTACAACACTACGCAAGCTTGGTACTTTCATGAAGCGGCAGTCGATTTTCTCTATCACAAAGAGCTTGGTTTTGTGGCGAGTAGAAGTCGTTTTCCCATTATTACGTCGTCGATACAGTAAATAACGTCGTCAGTTGGGGTATGCAGTAACGTCGACAGACGCTATTATTTCTTTCCCCACATTCCCATTCCCCATCCACCCCAACCACCCCAACCCCATCCTCCGAGACCCCATCCAAGGAAACAGCACTGGAATTGGAAAAATGTGCAATGTATGATATTGGGATGGAAATAATAAATGGTTAGAAAAAGACTCACGAATTGGGCTTCAGTGATGACGACAAGCTCACATAGCAGAAGAACGACCATAAGAAGTATCCTGAAAGGAAATGCTTTCAAATTTGGTGGCAGCTGCTTGTCTGACTGATTGATTGAATTTCTATATGTTACTGCGATACTTCTTAGTAACTAATTCGATGTGCGGAAAGCCCTGATGCAAACTTTCGTGCGTCTCTTCAGAATCACCTCAAAAATTTCGAGAATTGCATAATCTTCAAACGACTACTGACACTGTAAAGGGGGTCTTGAAAGGATCCAAGGCGCTCATTTCGTTAGGTGGGACATTGGGGGTGGGAGGAAGAGATCGTGGGGGAGAACGTGGGCAACCTTTCTTCAACCTTATGTGTCTCCTCTCTCCTGGGCTCAGTCCTAGTGTCATTTACCGGCGGTTTTTGACTAGCCTGTTTTGAATGTTCCCTCTAGGACCATGAACGCCGGTTCCAGTTTTCGAAGCCTTCTAGATAAGAGCACGAAAATCCTGCTTGAAGAAACAAGATTGGAAGCGGAAAGAGACAAGATAGTTGTGCTAAAAGTGGCACACACACCTATAAGACACGTTCTGCGATAGCAAAAAGGTGAATATAGGGTTCCGATAAAGTTGGGTAGGGATTCCCGAGACCGTCTTGAATAAACATTTTTGCTTCTGAGCGTTAGGAGATTCTGGAATGCAAACAGTTCAAAATACTCTAGGCGCCATGGCGGAAAAATGGCAGGTCGAGACAGAGAGCATAGCGGGAAGCGAGGCTGCAGACCTTGCAACGGTGGGCGTGCGTCGTTGCTTGGTGCGTCCATGGTTGCAAGTTTGTAGCCTCCTACGCTTTTTTTCGTTTGAGTGGTAAAAGTAGCGCCCACTCGACAGATGCGAACCCTGCAGCCTCACAGCCGATAGGATTGCTC